TGGCTCAGCTCCAGCCGTTGCGCTAACTTGGGGAGTGGACCATCAGAAGGAAGATCTTCCTCTCTGTTTCTCCTCCTCTATATATATCCACCTTTCCAATAAAAATAAATAAATCTTAAAAAAAAAATCCACAAAATGGTCCTTGAATGACAGATGGCCAAGATGAACTAGAGCTGACATAGTCTATGCAGTAGCCACTAAAATGTGGCTAGTCTTAAATTAGGTATGCTATAAATGTAACATACACACCAGATTTCAAAGACTTAGCACCAAATAAGCAACATATTTAAACAACCCCTTAAAGTGCTTACATTCTAAAATGGTATTTTGGATAGGGTGGTTTAAAAGAAAACACATCATTAAATAGACTTTTTTAAGTTTTGAAAAAAAAAGGTGGCTACTAGGGAAGTATAAATCACATTTTTGGCTCATGTTATTTCTACTGGACACTGTTCTACTTGTGTGTGTGGTGGTGGAAGGCAGGGGATCCTTCACACTGTCTGTTCCACGCAGGAAGTGAACGTTCCAGTTTTCTTTACATTTTCCACATCCTCCCTGGATGATTTGCAGCCTCATGGCTTCAATGAGACTTCTACTCATAGCTGTCCAATCTCCAAGCTGGATCTTCCGCCAGAGCCCTGCTGAAATCTGGATCTATACATCCAACCTTTGGGGAGCCCATGTGAACACCCCGGCCGACGCCAAACCTCAGCGATCCTCACTCCCTCAAGGTTCTTCTTACAGCAGCCCCCCCTTTTGCTTAATGGCACTTGATTCAGATGCTCAAGTCAGAAACCTGAAAGTCACCCCGGTTCTCTTGCTGCTTAATCCTGCCCGCAAATTAGTACCAAAGCCTGCTTCATCCACTTCCTAAATATGTCTGCCATCTTCTTTTCTGCTACCCCACTGACCTGGCCTAGTCACATTTGTCTCAAGACCCCTTCCACCTTTTAGATTTGCATGAAGGGCCTCCAGACAGTTCATGGAAATTGCCTATTCTAAAAAAGCTAATCATGAATTTCAGGTTTTTTTTTTTTGCACCATAATAAACTTGTACTGACTGCTATAACATGTCTAAACAAGATCTAGTTTGAGGCACTAAGAAGGGTAAGATTAATTTAGGAAAAAATCTCAGAGCAATAGGAATTTTGTTAAAACTGAAGCAAGGGCCAAAATCAAACTTATGGTGAAGGTGGGTAGACTAGTGCTGAAGCTATTGCTGTTTTATTTATTAATTTTAAATAAAATTTATGTATTTTCAATAATACTGACTTTTCAAATCTTACAAATGGTCACTCATTTCTAGGAAGGAACAAGATGATGTTGAAGATGAAGCCAAATGTAGCAGATCTTACACCTGAAATTTGCAAGGCAAAAAACTTGTTGGTGCCTTAACTGAAAAGAACTGACAACAGCCAAAACCACATCTATCTCAACTGATTCAGCCACAAGATACTAACTGAAAAATTAAAGCGAAACAAACTGTCCGCTTGCTGGCTGCCAAAATCAGTTATGTCCACATTAGCTGCCTGTTGAACTTTCAAGGAACATTTTAAGCAAATAGGATCAGGATCTCGAGGCATTTCTGAAGACTTGCAACAGGACATGAAACGTGGTTGTACTGGTACTGTTCTGAAGACAAAGCACAATAAAAGCAGTGGTTACCAACAGGCAGGAGAGGCACAGCCAGTGCCAAAGCAGACAAGGCAAGAGCAAGGGAATGCTGCTTGTTGGCTTCAAGAATTAAAGAATAACATCTGCTTAACTGGAAGATTGCTTTCAGAAAGCCAAAACTGTAGGAGAAAAACACTTGGGAAAGCTTCATCACACAGTCCTTCTCCTCCATGACAAAAACCCCGCTCACTGCACTCATCACATTGGGGTAATTTTGTGAGACTGCAATGGCCAGGGGCTGAGGCAACCTTGATTAGGCCAGGAACCTGGAACTGCATCCAGGTCTTCCATGTGCAGGACAGGGTTTCAAGTCCCAGGGTCAAATTCTGCTGGTTTCTCCGGAGCATTAGCAGGGCACTGTGTATGAAGCTGAGCAGCCAGGACTTGAACTAGAGCACAGACAGATGCAGGTAACATGGGCAGGTTCACCCAGTGCTCCACAACTCCAGCCATCCCTCCCTCCGCCCCTGCCGCCTAACGATTTTGATGGGACTCCTATTAACTTCTTTTTGTTTTCTAATTTAAAAATATTTCTAATTTTAAAATATTTCTCCCATTCAAGTAAGACTGTAGTGACGTGGTTAAATTCCTAGGACCTTCAGTTCTTTGGGTTGGTTTTTCCCTGCAAAAGTATCCTGAATTTAATGGAGCTTATGAGAAATAAAGTATATATATTTTGTTTTTATATTTCAATTTCATTTTCCCACACATTTTGAAGTACCCTTATGTTACATTCCACTCTTAGATTCTTGAAACACTATCCCATAGGTGCACACTTTGTTCAGTGTTGCCTTTCCTATTACAACATTACATTACATAAATGATGCAGTATGATTTGTGGTCATTGTTGTATCTTTAGTTCAATGATTGATGAATGAAAATGGGTACAAACTGCTAACTTACCAGTTGTAACCTCCTTAAAAGCTGTTCTACAAGAACAACAATTCCATTAGCGTGAGGCCTGGAAAGACCTCAGTCCTTTCTGTCTCAACATCAGTGGTGTGGACGCACTAACGTAGCTCTGGCACTCTAACAGCAGGGCAGGAGTGCTTGGTGACCATGCGCCCCATCTTGTCATCCCCAACAATCTGCTCTCTAAGCCTTTCCGGGTCAAGACAGAAAAGCTGCAGTGCACCTCAGGCAGGGTCCAGCCCCAGCGGGTCAGGTGATGACCAACACCTTCTGTCTCTAATGTCATGGTCACAGCTCCACTATTAACCAATAAAAATGAGCTAACGTGTATGCGAAGCTGGGAACTGTGAAGAATCAAGCTTCTTCTAAGAACAACACATCATGCTCCAAGAACAAGAGTTCAAATCAAATAATGAGATTTGCCTGGGGTCCCTTCATTCGGGATCCTCAGTCCTTTCTCCTGTCTGAGCCAGTTTCCATTCCCCAGTTTCTACGTGAGTCAGGAGAGACCAGGGCTATGTCTATGCTGTTCCGCTACAGCTGACAATTTGGGAGCTTGAAAACAGCCCAGATTCTTGCGGTTGTTCGTAGTGTTCATGAGCTCCAGATCCAGGCTGAGCAAGAGAAGCTTATGGAAAGCTCGAGGAAGCATACGGGCGCATTTACAGTACTTGCAGGTACAAAGGCGAGAATCAGATGTGATTCCATCCCCGCTTTGAGAATGAGCTTTCCTATCAAGTGAGGAATTAGTAGTGTGGCTAGATGAAGTGTGCCGATATGTGATGTGGACCAGGAACCGAGGAAGAAAGCATGTCAAGGCCACAATTAACTGCAAGGCACAATTAACTGACGGGCACATTGAGAAGTCATATAAAAAGGCAGTTCTTTTAAAGGATGAGGGAGAAATATGGGTCTTTATGAACACAGAAATATTGACATTTTTCTCTTACTTTTTTCACTTTTAGAGACCAATGAAGTAAACAATGGCAATTATCATGGTCTTACCGTAGGTAGTGGAATAAAAAGATATAGAGAAGAAGCACGGTTTTTCTAAATTATGTATACCCTGTCTCTTTCCAGAAATGATTTGCAAAAGATGGTGGAAAACTTGGGCTGGCACTGCAGGCAGGCAGTTATGTCACTGTTTGTGTGGCTGGCATCGCACATCAGAGCCCTGATAAGTCCTCGCTGCCCCTCTTCTTGTCCAACTCCATGCTGCAGTGTTGAGGGAAAAGCAACTGAAAATGCTTCTAGTGTGTGGGCCTGTATCACCCGCGTGAGATAGCCGGGTGGAGTTGCATGCTGCAGGCTTGGGCCTGGATCATTGCTAGTGGTTACAGGCTTTTGGGAAATGGGTCAGACAATGGAAAAATCTCTCCTGCCACTCTGGCCTTTTAAATAAATAAATCTTTAATAAAGTGGTGGGAAACCTTTTAGCTCATTTTTCACTTAGAATTTTTCTGGTGTTGGAGGGTTAAGCCCCTGCCTGTGTGCAAGCATCCTGGCTGCTCCACTTGCGATCCATCTCCCTTCTAATGCACTTGGGAAAGCAGCAGAGGACAGCCCAAGGCCTTGGGCCCCTGCACTCATGTAGAAGACCCAGAAGTAGCTCTTGGTTTCTGACTTTGAACTGGCCCAGTGCTGGCCACTGTGACCATTTGAAGAGTAAACAGCAGATAAAGATCTCTCTCTCTCTGTAACTCTATCCTTCAAACAAGCAAGCAAAACACAAAAAGAGAATGTTTTAAACTCCTCTGGTGAATTTTTTTTTCTATAAGAAAATTCAAAAGCCCCAGCATTTCAGCAAAAATGTCTAGTGTTTGGTAATGAGGGTACTGAGAGAGAGCGCGTAGTAGATTTATACATCTCCATTGCGCCACTCCGTCTCCATGTGACCTTAAGCAAACCCCTGATCTCTATGCATTTCGGCCGGGGCAGGCCTTCCTCAGGGAGTGACATGTGTAGTGGGGATATCAAAAATGAAAATTTCATGAAGGGTGAGACTGAGAGGAAAATGACTTAAAAAGGGGCTTCTCAGGGGAGAAATAATGAGCAAAAAGAGAGGAACACTTTCTTAAGCCTTCACTTTCTCAACTGGAAATGGGTTAGCACTGCCACCTTAAAGGATTATTATGATATAACTGTATCTAAATGTATACAGAAGGAATGGGAAACAAGGCGGGCAGGGAAATAACCAAAATTTTACAACAGCTGCTAATATATCATGAAAAATACAAAACTCCAAATGCATATACATTAATATTGTGTAATGACCAACAATGGGAATAAAGCAATTTTCTTCTCATAGTTATTTTACCTCTGAACACCTAAGACCCAAAGAGAAAATGTATAGTTATTGTGAAAGTCAAATAAGAAAAGCAAGAAAAATCCATAAACATGGCAAAAATACAAACCTAAAACACCAATTTCAAGTCCTGCCAAGCCTGCTTCAATTTTGTCATAAATATCTTCTGATGTAAAGTCAACAGCAATAGTTCTTGTCTCCACTTTAAATTTCTCTTCTGGGGAAAAAAAAAAAAAGAAAAATCAAAATGGGAAAATTAACACATGACAATTAGGATTATCACTTTGCAAACTCCTCACCCCCAAGCCTGTGGATATGGCATTTAGACCAGGATAATTTTAAGGCCTCTCAGAGATCAGAAAAAGCCAACCCAATAGTTGCACCAACAAATTCCAAAGTCCTCACTGGGCTGGCTGAATGTACCAGAATCAGCTCTCCTCTTATAAATCAATCATGCTAACTGCTTTTCAGACCCTTACGCACAAATAATAAAACATAATTCTTATCATAATTCATGTACTATTTAAGTATCATTGGCTTTCTGACATTAATTGCAAACTGATGCTTCATAATTTCAGAAGGAACTCTTTATGCTGTACGATATCATAAAGAGTGATATATTAAAGATTCTCTTATTAAAATGGAAATAAAATGAATGGGATCTTATTGTAATTTCACTGCTTGGTTAATAGCTAACAGTCACATATTTGAAAATCCACACACAATGCACAGCAATAAATCCGTATCGTGACACAAGAAAGACCTCTGTGTTCCACTCTGCACAGGACTATTAAGGTCCACACAGAGCTGATGGAAATAAGAACTTCCGCAACGAGACCCTGGAGAAACAAAACCCATCTGAGGTAATGTGTGATGTTTACTCCTGCCTTCCCCAGGCAGCGCCTTGGAGCAGACAGTGCAGGCTTGGAGCTCACTCCAACAAGGGTACCAACCTCATTTCCACACAGATTTGCAACATGACTTTGCGTAAGTCACACCTCCTCTTTCAATCTCAGCAACGTCTTGTGAAAATGAAGGTAATACCATTCAACTGGTGCCACGAAGCTCAAATAACAGCTACTGGCCCTCAGAAGGCACTGGGAGAGTGCTCGTCCCACTTCTCCCCCTCAGCCATCCCCACTTCCCCTGGCTTGGTGAAGCTCAGGAGACTGGGGATGCTGTTCTTCAGAACTTACTGAGAATTCAAAGGAGAATTAAAAAAAAAAAAAAAAACTGTTCCAGAAATAAATCTTCAGTGGAAGTCAATGTCAGCTCATGGCAGGGTATGCGGGATTAATCCTCACAGGAAGTACCTGCTCTTGATCTGAAAGGATTTATGTCTAAAACTAAAGCACTGGTTCATGAGAGATTTGATTCTTAGTTAGACTCAATGAAGCCTATTGATCGCAGGTAGAAATCCATGAATAAACTGGAGAGGAGAATAATTGACCTGGACCTCATGTGATGGTAAAAGGATCCTTGCTGCTCGTGTAGAAATGAGCTGCTCATGTGCGTATGCAGTGGAGAGCGAGACACAGAGCTATCACTTCACCACGCCCGGGGCCAGCTGGGCTAACCACAAATGAAGGACACTGGCTTTACAGCCGCACATCCGCAAGCGGAGAATGACCAAAACAAACAGCCAAACGCCACCTGTTAGTAAATGCAAATAAGATAAACTTTCCTATTTACCTTGAAAATATTTTTCCACACTAGCACTACTACTGACACTGAGGAAAATTTTGTTTAATAATATTGTTTATTTATTTTAAAGATTTACTTATTTGATGCTGGACTCTATGCTTGGTATATGCTTGCAATGAAAGAACCTCAACTGAACTTGAACTGTGGCAATGCAGCAAGGTGGAGGAATCCACCATGGGGGGGAGGGTTAAGGAAGGGGTAGGGGGAATCCAGTGCCTGGAGAACGGTGTGACAGAATGCAATGTAAAAAAAAATATTAATTAAAACAAAGATTTACTTATTTGAAAGGCCGTTACACAGAGGGGAAGGAAGAGGGAGAGGAGGAGAAAAGAGGAGGAGGGAATGAGAGCAAAGAGGAAAGGAGGTTGGACAGTGGGGAGAGAGGGAGGGAGGGATGGAGGGAGGGAAGGAGGGAGGGAGACAGAGAGAGAGAGAGAGAATATCTTCCAGCTCCTAAATCAATCCCCAATGGCTGCAAAGGCTCAGGCCAGGTCAAAGCCAGGAGTCTGGAACTCCATCCATGTCTCCCACATGGGTGACAGGTGCCCAAGCACTTAGGCCATCTTCTGCTGTCTTTCCAGGTACATCAGCAGGGAGCTGGAGCAGAAGTAGAGCCACTAGGACTCAAATCCGAGCTCATTTGAGATGCTGGCATCACAGGTGGTGGCTTAGCCTACTGTCCCACAACGAGTCTCCTCTCCAGTAATTATAAAATCAAATCACAAGTCTTAAATCAGATTTGCTCTTTTATATTTCACAGGATTTTATGAACACATTTACATTATGGAGTCTTGTACAGATACTAAAACAATTCTATGACAATTGTGGGAAGAATAGTATTAACCAATGAATCCTCAAGTGAGATTGTTGTTTTGTTTGTTTGTTTGTTTTGCTTTGACTGTATATTGAAAAAAGCAAATTGGCTCATGGCAGCAAGTTTTACAAGATAATAAAGATCCTTGAACTTACAGTTAGAATCATGTTCCAATCCAATAACACTGCTTTTGTTTGTTTTTTTCTCTTAACAACCTTTATTACTTTTACGGCGTGTCGTGTGTGTGTGTGTGTGTGTGTGTGTGTGTGTGTGTGTGAGATCGGGTCATTTCCCTCCTTGCACACCCCAGACCTTTACATCTTGACCAGAGCAAGAACCAGAAATTTCTGGCAGCAGCTTAATACTTCCCTGGGCTCACCTGCAATTACTCTCCCTCATTGTGCGAAGTTCTTTCTATTCTGCATGTTCTCCAAGTAGGCTCAGGACATTTGCACGACCGGAGCACCCTCTCTACCCCCTGTGATCCTTGATCACCCTTTGAAAAACAAAATGCAGCCAGCCCTGCCCTGACACTCTTCACCGCTTCTCTGCTTTATTCAAGTCCACTGCATGTACCAGAGCTTTAACAAAGCCTTGGCAAGGGTACTTCTTACTTCAATATATTGTGCATTGTAATAAGCTTCACCACCAGAATTAAGGTTCCCATTTTGTTCATTTGTCCAACAAATGACCTGGGATCCTCCTACCTTCCTTAGCTGTCCCTTCAGGATGGCTCCCTTCCTGGTAGAGAATCATGGCCATCCCAAACACCACCTGCAGACTACAGGTACAGGCGAAAACATCCCTTTCACACAGTAAGGGAAACCTCTCCATGGCAGAGACGGCCCCACAGGTGTCTGTTCCAAGGATTACTGTAAATGTATGTTCTTGATTAGGCCCAACGATGGGCTGTGAGAATTCCATGAACTGCCCCCACCTCCCCATCAGATTTTGTGAATGAAAACCAGCAGGAGTTGCCTTTTGCTGGCTCAGGCAATCAGATGAGAATTACACTGAATGTTCTAACAGGTAGAGGGGGCAGCAGCTGACTTCCTTACACACTGAGGAAGTATACTGAAGCAGCTGCCTCCTTCTCCTAGACCAGCACTCTGCACCTGAGCCCGTCAGAAGACAAGTGGACCAGAGTCTTGCAGCCTTAAATATCAGCACAAGTGTGTGTTCAGCACCTGCACCTGAAGCTGCTGCCGGGTACATATGATACAATTCTCACCTTCACTTTTACCACCTCTCCAATCTGAGATTTTCCTGAGTGCACAAGCCAGCAATAACCCCCCTGACAAGAAGATTCAGAGTATTAACAATGCCTTGGGAAGGGTACTTCTTTTTCTTTAAAAATTTATTTATTTTTATTGGAAAGTCATATTTACACAGAGGCAAAGACAGAAAGATCTTCCATCTGCTGGTTCACTCCCCAAATAGCCACAAGAGTTAGAGCTGAGCTGATCCGAACCCAGGAGCTTCTTTCAGGTCTCCCTTGCAGGATCCCAAGGCTTTAGACTATCCTTGACTGCTTGCCCAGGCCACAAGCAGGAAGCTGGATGGGAAGTGGAATAGCTGGGACACAAAGATCTACCGGTATGGGATCCTGGCACTTGCAAGGTGAGGGTCTAGCCAGTGGGCTGCCACACCAGGTCCCAGGTCCGGGTTTGTTTTAGAACAAGGGTAATTCTGATTCTTCTCACCCTTGTGCCACCACAGAGGCCCAAGTGGTAACGTTACCTCTGCCAAGTTTCTTTCCCCAGAGTAAATAGGAGCTGCAAGAAGTCACACTGATAACCTACAGGTAGGTAGGACAAAGGTAAAGGAACAATAGAATTGAGACATTGCAATGCGAACAAACAAACTGCACCCCCTGTGTGGGAGCATGACAGTCCTTGTGAGAACCATCTCAGCTGCAGAGTTGGCTTGTCACATAATTCTTCTGGCACCTACATCTAATGACCTATCACTTTGGAAATTGAAAGGTCAGTTTGTATCTACCAGGTTCTGGTTCCATTATGGCACTCCACATGTGTCTTCTTTTCCTGTGATCCTATGATGCTTTAGCTTTAGTTATTCTAGTTTTAAGGTAGGTTTTAGGAGTGGGTACCATGGCCCAGCAATTAAGATGTCACTTGAGATACCCATACCTCAAACTGGTGTGCCTGAATTGGAGACCCAGCTTCATTCTGAATTCCACACTACGAGGCAGCAGGCGATGGTTCAACTAACTGCTACCACCATGGGAGATAAAACGGAGTTCCAGGATCCTGGTCTACCAGTGTGGCTCAGTCACCACTCCTAGAGGCCATTTGGGAATGAATGACTGGATGGAAGATCCATTTCTTATCTTTCTCTGACATTCTGCCTCTCAAATCAGTTTTTAAAAGATTGGTTTCGGGGCCCGGCGCGGTGGCGCAAGTGGTTAAAGGTCCTCGCCTTGCACGCCCGGGATCCCATATGGGCGCTGGTTCTAATCCCGGCAGCCCCGCTTCCCTTCCAGCTCCCTGCCTGTGGCCTGGGAAAGCAGTCGAGGACAGCCCAAAGCTTTGGGAACCTGCACCCGCGTGGGAGACCCAGAAGAGGCTCCTGGCTTCGGATCGGCATAGTATCGGCCCGTTGCGCTCGCTTGGGGAGTGAATCATCGGACGGAAGATCTTCCTCTCTGTCTCTCCTCTCTGTATATCCGCCTTTCCAAT